TTGGGGGTATGGTTAATCTAAATGCAGAAAACACAGAGAACTTAATCATATCAGGTTTTCATCAACATATTTCAGCATAGCAGAAAAATATACTGAAAGTTGTTGCCGCTGTGCTGAAATTAGGCCAAACGCTCATTTTTTATAAATAACTTCTGCTAAAACTGCGTCTTTTAAACAGATGAAACTCATTCTTTGAACATTTATGTAAGAAACCTGCCTGTTTGAGGACTCTGAGTCATATAATACTCGAAGTGCAACCATAATAACTCAGATACTTTGGTTAACTTCTGTTATTCTACTTCCTTCTACTTCTTGTCTAGTCTTAGGAATACCTATGCCCTGTAGAAGCACAGTGCAGAAGCTATCCACTTTTTCCCCATCTTCTCCAAATCTGCAGTGTGCCTGCTGCTGGAAAACCTTTGCCTCCAGCGGTTGAAAGTCCACGAAGATGAGGCACTCCTCACCAGGTTTTAACAAGCCATTTTCTGGAGTGAGCTTAAAGGGAGCCCAACAGTCCCATTTGAAATACAGCACAACTTTACTGGAAGAGAAAATGAAGACATCAGGAGTTTTTTTGTAATGTTCAGGAAAAGTTCAGTCAGACTTTTGCACTTGTTGACAGGTATGGTGGTTCACTGTTCATGAGGAAGGTACTTTAGTTTGTCTACGACAGATTTTTTTTAAAATTATTATTTGTTAAACAAAAATTATAGATCAATTTATCATTTCTATACTGGGGGGGGAATGTATAATTACAAGCATAACTGTATGACCATAAATCAATAAAGTCAAAGTTACCTGGCATTTTTTAGTGGGAACCTGGTTTTTGTGGCATGCTGAACTGCACAGTGGGGGAGCATCACAGTTTCGGGCACCTTCAGCTCAAAATGTGGAGGCACAGCATGGAGGTGTATTTGAAAGCTTCCCTCTTTAGCTTGAAACTGAATTCTGTCTTTATACTCACACTGTCCGTCGCAATCAGGCAAAGACAAAAACAGCTGAGTGACAAGAAACAAACTAGCGACAAAAAGCTATACAATCAATGAATGATTTTGTCACACTAAGGTGGTGTTGAATGTAACCGTGTGTTACAATACCCTTTGAAGAGGTCTAAAGGTGACTGGTAAGGAGAAGGAAGTTCCGGGGCTTAGAACAGCAATTTCAGGATTTATGATTGAGAAAAAATGGGATGCTGGAGCTCTGTGAAAAAAAAAAAGGGAGGCTTTGTTGTCCTCTTAATCTTACAGCACATTGGAAGCTGTGCTTGTGAGTTTGCATTACCTTATGCGCAGTTTCTGTAGTTTGTTACAAATATTTCTTAACACCATTGTCTTAGTGTACTCTTTTCCGACAACCCAATCCTCCCATAACAGCTCTGGTCTGGTTTCCAAACCAAAGAAGGACTTTTTGGTGCCAGAAAATTTTCTTCTATAGTGTTTTCTGTCTGAGAGATGTGGTTCCTGTAAAGGAGGTTGTTGCATAGTATGCAAATTTGGAAAATAACAAGAATTAATACCTACATCTGAGTAAAATGAAACTATCAAATAAAAGATTAATTAGCTGCTATCAATTCACTTTATTTGTATAGTCTATAAGCTTTGAACATTTACAAAAGGACTGTTTCATCCACCATATAAAAATGGAGAGAGTATGGCTTGACCCACCAAGACATGGTCCTCTAATTAAAGTAACAGGTGGGTAGGTGGAGTTTGATCACAGAAACAACCAATTGGTCAATAGTAACTCTATGGAAGCTGCAGAGACTAATGTTTCAGTAGCGGTCACAGCAAACATGTTTAAAAAGGTTGCTCTAATCGGGTTGAACCATTATTTAACTGTTTTTGCCTCCCTGCAAAATGCTATTTGCTTTTTGGAAAACTGAAATTTCATGATAAAACTGATGGAAGTGGCATGCTATGGGAATGCTCATTCTCAAAATGTACAGTATAGCTGTGTCAGAGTTGGGATAAGGATACAGGGCAATCGAAGCAGAAATATCTATTAAAGAATGCAAAATACAGGAGGCTGTGCAGAAGTGAGCCTCATACAATCTGAATAAGCTTAAACTAATTTGGAAATTAGAATGAGAGTCACTATATATGAAAATAGGATGTAAACATACCCCTATGTACTCGCAGTCAAAGATGGTGCTGCACAATATTTACTGTCTGATTAATGCACACTAAAATGTCTTTTTTTTTAAAGCCTCTATAAAAAAAACATGTAGCAAGTCATTTTCATCTACTGTACAACTGCGTGCTAGTTATAAGCATATCAAAACACTTGTGAATATGATAATGTTTCAGAATTTTTTTTCCAGGTTTTACATGATTTTTTTTTTTTTTTATTCTATTTAAATCAAATTTGTTCTGTGAGTAAAAACAGCTTTTACAGCAGTGCTATGGGGATTTTCTTTAACCCTTTATAGGGCAAGTTAGCATTTTTGATCACTGGAATACCCCTTACAAATGGAGTCCCACCTGTCCCACAGTGCAGTCTAGAAGCACAAGATCTATATCCAGACATTCAGCAAAGATCCTGCTACATGGCTGTACATCATTTTTTGGCATTTGACCAATTAGATGAGCCCTTGTATGATTTATTACCTACAGTAAATTAATTTGGAAAAAAAAAACGAATTGAAAAGTTAAAAAGTAATGTTAAAAAGTTAATAACCCTAGTTAGCAATTATATTTAGGTTTATAAACTAAAAAATGTAAGTGCCAGTATCAGCATTAATGCCTCTGTTATCTTGTACCAAAAAAAATGTGTTTCTTTGACTCTCAGAATGCTTTTCACATGGACGGTTTTAGACAGGAGCCAACGGAGGCCAGTGCCCCTGTATATCATGTCCTGGTTATGTTATGGCCCCTGTTCTGAAGAAATAATACTCAAAGAAATTCTAATGATGATATGAGCTTGAACAAACATGGTTACTGATAGGTCCTTTGGATCAATTTAATTCTTTACAAATTCTGTTTTACTAATTATTTAAACAATAAGGTGATAGCTTCAGTGGTATTGAGATAGGATTCCCCCCCCAAAAAATATAAAAAAAAAAACTCTAATTTTCTACAGCTGAATTGATCAGTTTTTCCTGAGTTCTAATTCAGATATTATAGAAAACAGTGATTTTAACTTAAATTAAGTCAAAAAATATGTAATATTCCTAAATTATGAATGTATATTGACCTAATAAGACATAGAATTTCAATTAAACCTAATTGAATAGAAATTTCACTTCATCCAGCTATCTTAATATATTTGAATCCCTTGTCCCGTTTTTTATTTCATGCTTTTCTGGGCCCCCATTGAAACACACAGGCCCCCTCCTGGCCCCCTGGTCCATTTTTGTCTAGAACCACCACTGGTTTTTCATCAATTTCTTATACAAACAATTTATTATTTTTCTTATAATGTTCGGGCAATTTGGCATTTCTTGCTATTACATTGAGATTAATTATTTCCACCAAAACATCCATATTTTTGTAATGTTACAAAGTTAATAAGGTTTTGTCCTGATTCCCCAAAAAAAAAAAAAAATATATATATATATTGGCTTGAAATGTTGATTTTTAAAGTATTTCACTGAATGACTTATAAAGGGTTAAGTCATTAATGTAATGTTCTTTTTCTTTCAACTGTTTCTGTGAGGATAGTGTACTCTTCAGGCTGGTTTTGACTTTACTTTGGCTTCCGTCCCTTTGCTGAGCAGCTTCCCTGGAGCGATGGAGCCATGACTGCGGGCTTCAGCTAACATCGCTGTGGATAGAAATAAATACACAAACAGGGCTGTGGGGATTAAAATGATATTCATGTTAAGTTTTTTTTTTTTTTTTTGTGGTTAATTAAGTAACTCCAGAAACTCTGTTTTTGCATTTGCACCGTTACAGTACAACAACAATTCAAAAAGCTCTGAAGCTGACCAGGTCCGTGTATAATCTTTAAACCTGCTGAAACAACGACGCTTCGACCTTACCTGATAATGAAGTATTTACAATGTGCCAAAAGTCCGACTTCAGCGTTAAAAAACGTCTAAGAGCACGATTAATCCAACAGTACTGCCGTCTCCATGACAACGTATAAACGTAACGTTTGAAGAAATTACGGTGTCCTCTGAGGGACATCTTGCGATACTGATTTAATCAACTTTTTTTTTTTTTTATGAAGGGCTAGTTCACCTACAAAATACAGTCTACATTCTAAACAAAAAGTATTAAACTAAAAATATGCACATCCACTGAGTTTACACTTGTTTATGCTATAGTGAAAACTTACCATACACTTGTGACTAACTCCAGTATATTTATCATTGTACATATGAGCAGAAACAATTATACATACATACATATATATATATATATATATATATATATATATATATATATATATATATATATATATATATATATATATATATATATATATATATATATATATATATATATATATATATATATATATATATATATATATATATATATATATATATATATATATATTAATGTTAGAACTGCAAATATAGTCATATATTTATATTAGTATTTTTTATGTATTTATTAACGTTATACAAGGCTGCACTTTAAAAATGAAATTGTCTAGGTTGTTTTAAATTAAATTTCTTTTTGTTTACATTTGTGTATACAAAATGACAAAATAAATCTAAGTCTAAATATGAAAAATATACAATTTACAGATGAAAATTCAAGTTTAACAGATTTTTCTGTAAAAATTGGTTTTGTTATTAAAATTTAGAGATACCTTGAATTGGGTTTTTTCAATTTTTTTTCTTTTATAATCTGACAAATGTTAGTCAAAATATTGCCTATATAAATATATTTACAATGCGATAACTAATTTTAACTGGATAATAGCAGCAAGTTATTGAATAGTTAGTAGTCATAATAAAAAAAGTATTGCACCTATGAAAAAGAAATAAAATCCTGCTTACTACAGTTTTTAGGTCTATATTCCATCAAACAAACAACATATTACACAGTTACAGTGTTTTTATTCAAGTTTGAAGAAGAACACAAAGGCTTACCAGTTAAAAACATCCAAATGAAAACCCTTTGAAATACTAGGACAGTTCTTTTTTCATAGAGCAAGAAAAACATTAAATAAATTGCATGCATTACCCTTTGCTATTTGCCTGAAAACGTAAACAAAAATAAATTAAGTTTATCTCGTTTAAGTGCCTACAAAATAGTTCTTTTGGTTTTTTTAATCAACCGTATTTTCCTGTACAGAAGGTCACTTTTCATTTCACTTTCTAGAATGTTTTACTTGTAAAGATGGATGGAAAAGTGATGATTGAAAAATAATTGTTTAAAACAGGGGCATCCAAAGTCAGACCCAGAGGGCTCTTGTCCTACAAGTTTTAGTTTCCTTGCTTCAAAAAATCTGATTTAGATGGTTGCAGATTAGTAAAAGCCAGTTATTTGCAATAAAAGGAAATCGTGTGATAAAGTAGGGAAACATCTACTCCATGGATGACGTCAGCTCCTGAGGCAGACTTTAATCACCCTTGGTGTAAAGGCTACAAAGCAACCTCAGCACAGCATCACAAATTTACTGACAGATGTTCCAGGTGGAAACTTGAACAGCAGTAAGGCATACTCAGTCGCAATTACAAAAAGCGTAATAAATATAAAACAAAATAAAAATACAGTAAGTACATGTCTTTACACATATCCTAAGAAGTTCCACTCCTCTCTTTTATCTCTTCCTTACAGTAAGAACTGTAGCTCCTTGCCCCCCTTCCTTTGTAACTTGTGAAGCTGACTGAGCCCAAAGATGCTTCGTTCAACTGTTTCATTTCCTCGACTCCAAACTCATCCCCCACTTCTCTCCCGTTTTCCACTTCCAGGCCGGAATTAAGACAGATACTATGATTAAGACTCTCCACGTCCATCATACTGTCAGTCAAAGATGTTGCAGAGACTTGTTCCTTTGCTCTACGAGTCCTCTTCCACTTCATACGTCTGTTCTGGAACCAGATCTTCACCTAAAAAAGAAACGGAAATGTGGCTTCAAAATTCCTTCTTCAGTTTAAAACACATCTCAGTTTGTCCTGAAACACATGTAACTCCTACACTCAATACGAACAGGACAAAAATGAAGAAAAATAGGAAAGAATGTGTATATATTATAATACAGGGCATAATACTTTTTCTGTTCCACCAAACACTATGATTTAGAATAATATGTATCGAAAAAATAAAGATACTACAAAATAATGTTATACTACCCTATACAGTTCTATTGAAGAAATCAAAATATGTGTCCTGATGAGGCTTGGTTGTCATATTAAAACTACATAGAAAAATTACAAAGCTTTATTTGACATACCTTTCTTTATTACTATATTAAGTATAAAATTGTTTTCTTTTATCTGATAAAAGACTTAATTTTATATTTTTTTTCCTTAAATGGCATGTTTCCTTTAGGTTTCAGTGGAGAATAATCATAAATGATAGGAAGAAAGTGTGTAAACAATATATGCAATGTGTTTAACAGGGAATTCTGTTATGAAAATAAATTAAATCTATATCAATATCGGAATTCATTAAATGTGACTATATGTCAGTTAAATTTACACTTTCAGCAGGATTGAAGTGGTCTGTCTATTTAACGAGCAGTATGGTCAAGTATTACATTCTTGAATCGATATATTTGTTAATTCGATTAAAGTGGGTCAGTCTGTTTTATGAGCAGTTCAGCTGTAATGCATTCAGGACAAATATGAAAAAATAACAGACAAAACAGAAAAATCAGTGTGTAATCCAAAACCTGACTCAGTATTTTATTTTAAGACATCCTTTCCAAAATACAACTTGACTGTACAACTCCTGTGGATAGTAAACAACATCAGAAAGAGAAGCAGCTGCTCCTGCTACAAACAGAAATGTACGCCCAGCTCTCTGACCTGAGTCTCCGTCAGCATGAGTGAGGTGGCCACCTCGAAGCGTTTGGGTCGCGACAGGTACTTGTTGAGCTTGAACTGATTTTCAAGTTCCAGGAGCTGCTGACTGGTAAACGCTGTCCTGGGCCTTCGACACTTCCCCAGTAAGGCTGACTGACCTGGTTCTAAGACAAAAGCACAGACATTTTATTAATTATCTTTACTGATAGCTTGAATTTAAAGTTCCACTTTCCCTCTAGGTTATAGTCATATTCCTTCTTGGTCCTCCATAATTATTCCAATGAGAGGCTGGCTTTGGATGAGGTACATGAAAGCTAGAGATCCATCACCTTCATGAAAACCCTGCAGCTGATTGAGGAGTGGGGATACTTTTACTAAAAGGGTTTGATATTCTTGGTGTGTCTGCAATCACAGCAACATATAATGATGACAGAAAATGAAGAATATAAAAATAAAATAAAATAAAATACATTAACTAAAACAATTGAACCTTCCAAATACCTTAAGTAATCTTTTGAAAAGTATGAATTATTCATGTTTAAATCTATCCTTTTTTGTTTCCATGATTTGTAATACATGAAAATTAAAACATTTTCTTTTATTTATTTATTTTTTTCTTACTGTAGGCCTAAGCCTCTTGGCTTGTATTATTCTGACCGATTAATTAAATCAAAAAGTTGGTGGAATGACATAAAATTTTGGATGGAAAATTACTGATACATTTCTTTTTATTATTTCATGCCATCAAATATCATGGAATTTAAATTTAAAATACAAATCTGGTTTATACCGCTGCCTTAAGGGATTTTATATTCATAAAAAGTTTAATATTTAAACTTTTAAGAAAAAATGGATATTTGTGGGGGGTTTTTTACAAGGAACCCACCTCCATACTCTCCAAATCTTGGCATCACCATTGCGCCTCTGATCCATGGATCCATTGGAAGCATTGGGGCCACGTTTCCACCCTTGGTGTGCTCCCGATGAGGCTGAACCAGCTGAGCAAAGGCTGGATACATCAAGGCAGGGTGCTGACCGAGGGCAGTGAGAGGATACACGGATTCCGCCTGCATTCCTATGATACCTACTTGATGCATAGTGGCGAATCCTGACTGAGACAGGTTGAAAAGATGAGGCTTGGATATCTGGGTTAAAGAGCTGTTTGCAAAGTTTAGATGAGGAGAGGGTGACTCTGGACTATCTTCGGAGCCCCTGCTGTGACACAGTCCCGGAGAAAGGCAATCCCTCTCCATCATTTGCCCTGCGTCATGCGCCAGGAGCGCGTCAATCCGAAAGTTTTTCGATTTCTCATACGCGGTAGACATTGTCCTTCGGAACGCTGCCACTTCTAAATTCAGTTAAAATACTCTATTTTGTTTAAATTCTATAAAAAAAACAACAACAAAAAAACTAGGATTTTTTTTTTCTTTTTTGTTGCAATTGGAGGAATTTCAATTTATGTTTCAATTCCTGCCCCTCCGTCTTGTGGAAGAACTGTCCCTTCTCTGGCAACATCAACTTTCACATGCATATAAACCCCCCTTCTCTCACCCCAGCAGCGAAAGGAAAGATTACCAGCACACAATAGTGCTATAAAATCTCCCCTCCTGTGATTGGCCAGGACCTTGCAGCACAGGGCCAGGTCAGTTAGATTCTGTTAGATAAACTGATAGCACACCCTTAAAGTTATACTTACAAAAAAAAAAAAAAAAAGCCCAGAATTTGTTGATTTATGATTTTTTTCCCCCTAAAATAAGACACCTTGCTGCTTGTTTAATTTGTCTCCGTATGTACTGTTCTCATTCTGTCACTTTATTTTATTCTCATCTACCTTATCGCTCTGTAATCCATCACCTTTTATATGATCCTACTTTATGCCAAGTTAATATGTGAATTCTCACAAAACCTTTTACAGCAGTATATTACCTTGCACCTGCATCTTTGGACACAAGCAAACACTCTTGAAAACTATATTGCTGTAATTGCTGCAATCTCTGTGGCAAAATTAATATTTTTACAGCTAATTCCTCATTAAACTTTATAACTTATTAAGGCTGACAGAAACAAAGCCGTTCTTATCAATGGCAGCTGCAATGATTACCAGTCATCACCACACCACCGAGCACATAAAAGGGCAGTAAACTGATAGAAAGCAAACTTATTTTCTCCCCTTTGCAAAGGGAAGCCACACATAAAGTGTGAACAGGTGACGCAAAACCCTGCAGCGGATGTTTGGTGTTTATTGGTTCAGCCTACACTCATATACGTGGTACATTTGAAGTAAAAACATAAATCTCAGAGCAGTTTCCCATCAATCTTAACTACACTCACACTGTAATGATACCCCGATAAGAGTTTCAGACAGAGTAATCACATTTCAATTAAAGTGTCCAAATTGGTTAGATGTGCGCTTGTGCCACAGCCATCAGTGGTGATTTCCTGCTAGGTATTACAAAGCTGATAGGAGCTTGATTATATTCCTGGGAAAACAAACGTCCTCGTGTAAAAGACAAACACACTAACACCTGCTGAGTTCCACAATAAATGAACAAAACAGCTAGGGGGTTTAAAGTGTATGTGTGTGTGCCGGCATGCAGATCTCTAAATATGTACATCAGGGGTAAACAAAGATAATTCTGCAACTGACAGTTTCTAGTCAGGCAATACATTTTCTCAACCTGTTGAGCTGAAGATTTATATAATTTGGTGATGACACTGACTTGAAAAGTCAATGCAATCACTCTGGGTTTTCCACATTCTGTGCTATATACATAAACTTTAATATACAGTATTTTAGTGAGAATAGAGTGAAAACTCCAAATGAAGATTCTAATGTTTTTTTTTTTACCAGTGCATTTTCTCTTGCCACTCTTCTATTGATTCCAGATTGGTGGGATTTACAGTGGCTTCTCTTTTTTAACGCTCTGCTCTCTGGCCACTTTGATTTCAACAGCCATGCCTTGATAGATGTGCTATTGTGCCATATCTTTCTATTTTGGATGAATGATGGGTAATGGACTGAACAGAGCTCTCTTAGATGTTCAATGTAGATATAGTTTCTTTGTAATTTATCTTTGCTTTAAACATCCCCACAACTTTATCTGACCTGTCTGCTGTGTGCCTTGTTACCAAGTTATTCTGGGATTCCCTAATGTTTTCTAATGACTGGCCTCCACAGAACAGCTGTATCAATGCTGAAATTAAATTACCCCACAGGTGAAATGTGTTAATTAATTAAGCGACTTCCAGGTAATTCACTGCTGTAGATTTCATTCAGATGTGTGGATGTAAAGGATGCTAAATAAAAATAAAATCACTGTGTTACTTTCCAATATTTTGCTTTTTGTCTACACTTTTAAAAACCTTGGGTACATTTTCTTCCACTTCACAGTTATTTGCTATGTGCCATTCTCAAAGTATGTGTGATTTTTGAATATTGCCGTATTTATTGCAGAATATTAAAATATCAGCAAATTCTTTATCTAAAGGAATACATATTAATAGTAGTTAGTTTACTTTTATTATTATTGTAAATTAGCCAAGCATTCTGAGCCTTCTACCTTTTAAAAGCAGATTAATTCAATACAAAACTGCATAAAGGATTTATGATACAACTATGAATTATATCTGTAAGAAAGAAATGCCTAATTATTTCAATGGTATAATTCCATTCCCTAATTTGCAAGATTCCTTATGAAGTAAAAAAAAAAAAAGAATTAAAAGGATGTAACCTGTGTAAAACTGTGTAAAACCTGATGAGCTAACCACAGTCTTCCGGATGGATAAAAACCCAACACATTCCGCCTCTTCAATGCCCATTAGTGGTGACTGTGTCAAGAAGATTTCCAGTTTCTTGGTGTGACGATAGAGGACAACCTGACATGTCCACACCACCACTGACTTTAAGATGCACAAAAGAGGCTGCATTTTCTCATAGTAATCAGGAATCACCATCCTAAACAAAAGTCACTAGTGTCCTTCAACTGGTACTTTACAGAGAGCATCCTCACCTACTGTATCTACTGTATGTGTGGTTTTCCAGCTGCACCGTGATACATAGAAAAACTCTACAGTGGGTTTTCCCCACAGCCCGGAATTATCAAAGCAATATCTCATCCTTGACACAGTTTTTGAGCTTCTGGCATCTATCAGACCCTAAAAGGCACTGAAAACTTACACAAACAGACTAAAAGCTAAGCCAAATAAACCATACACCACACTATTCACATCCAGACTGGATCATGATTGATGACCAGCTGACCTTTAAAGATCATGTTACCTCCGTTTCTTGATCTTGTCACTTCACACTACTAAACATAAGAAAGATCCAGCCATACCTAACCCAACATGCTACCCAGCTGCTGGTTCAGTCAGTTATTTCCCACCTTAAATATTGTAATGCACTTCTGACTGGTCTCCCAACCTGTACGGTAAAACCTTTACAAATAATCCAGAATGGCGTGTCTGGTCTAAAAGCAGCCCAAAAAATCTCATATCACCCCTCTGTTCATTGAGCTTCAATGGTTACCCCTGGCTGCCCACATCAAATTCATGTCCCTGATGCTAGCCTACAAAGCGCTTAAGGGTACGGCTCTCGTAAAGACTTATGGCACAGCTCGGTCACTGGTCAGCATCGGGTTGTCGTCTAGCAGTGCCTTAACTACGCTTAAGACAATCCAGACTGTTTTCACAGGTTGTTCCAAGATGGTGGAATGACCTACCAAATGTTACAAGAACAGCAGCATCCCTATCTATCTTTATGAAACACGTAAAGACCAACCTTTTCAGAAAATATTACCCTATCCTAACTCTTACCCATAGCTCTGTACCCCTCTACTACTCTTTCTGCACTTCCCTCTCTCTTTGCTGTTACCACTGATTCCGACTTGGGATTTTTCTCAAGAGAATTTATTGTCTAATTGATGATAACTGTAACATTGTGTCCACCTTGTAAGTCACTTTGGATAAAAGCCTATGCTAAATGCATAAACATAAACAAAGCACCGTGTCTACATTAGAGCTATAGCTGCCATTTTCTGACATTATTTTACATTTTTTGTAATAGTACTATTTTTTTTTTTTCATTTATTAACATTTCTTGAAATAAATGTTATAACCACAATAAAATATGTAATTATATAAAAGCTTAGATCAATTTAGATTCTGTGGACTATATGACACATGAACTTTTTCACCAACATCCTCAGATTAAAGTCCTTTGTTCATAACCCTGAACAAATAAGGGTTGTTTACTAAGCTGTTGCACACATCTTTTTTATCCTATCCTATCCATCCATCCATCCATACATACATATAATTACATACCAAAAAGCTTTATATGTTGTTATAAATACATACAAAATATTTGGATAAAAAAATATTTATATATATAGAAACTAATACAGTCAAGCTTGGTCCATCTTCCTCTCCTAAACAATCACAAGCTGAGAAAATAATTGAAAGCTGGTGCTGCAACACAAAGTTCAAATTCAACATCTAAATGTTCTTCAGGTTTTATTTTCACTTTGGAGATGTACTCTCTTGTCTTTAAGTGGGCTTCAGGATCAATAGATGTGGTCAGTTTAAAGACAGCAAGTCACAGAGCTGAGAACCTACTGGGCCCTTTGCTCTTTTCTTCCTTAAACCATTCATGTTTCCTCTTTTCATACACAAATGAAAGCAGAGTTCACACAGTGGGCGATTAAGTTGAACCTTTGTGGTTAAGCAGGAAAACATAATTGTTGGACAGTAGAGCTAAATAAATGAATTTATACCAAAAGTGTATTTTCAAAATAGCTATTTGCACATGAAAAGACAAAAGAGCACAAACTGTCCACACAAGGAAATCAAATCATGTATATATTTTACAAACTTGGAATTCATAATTAAACAATTATAAAACTCTTAGTTTTTTTAAAGATATCAGAGTGAATCTTTGATACAACTTCAAAAAAAGAAATGAAATGTTAGGCAGCATAATCATCTGCAGATGACCGAATGATAAAGCATCCCTATTTAAAAAAATTAAAATAAAAACAAGTTCCCATGGAAACATTAGGTCAAGTGCAAAATCTCCTATAACTCCCAACATATCTAGCATAATAAAGCCTGTTGTTCTCATCCTGCATGTGTCCCTCTGTGGCGTATCGTCCAATTTCTGCTTTTTGGTATCCATTGTTTCTATTGTCATGCCGCTGTCCTGCTCTGATTGGCCTAATGGACCGCAGGGGGATAGAACATTTCCTTTTTGAACCAGGGTGGTCGCCAAGGGTTTCAAGGTTCCATTTTGGTTAAAAATGAGTTGATTAATGGCAGCCATCACAACTGAGACTTGGGAATAATGAGAAGGACAAGAGGGAGGAACAGAGGAGGAGATGGAGAAAGGGAGGAGGGCTGGAGATGGGAGGAGAGCTGAGATTGGAGGAGTATTACTCAGCACAGTAAAAGGCTGGGAGGACAGCTAAGTTAGATAAGGATTCAGGGTAGAAGT